ACGCTTTTTATGGGTCAAATAGACTCAAAAAATTGTAACAGCAGCTGCGCGGGGGGCCCAAACTAATTTTTTGTCAGGGGGCCCAAGATTCCTGGCAGCGCCCCTGATGGTGATTATTTAATAAATATATTTTGGAACATATATACACATACATAGTGCACAGCTTCAGTTATTACAGCTAAACATTGGTTTAGCTGTAATAACTAAATTTCAGGCCCGAAATCTTGGTGTAGTGATGAACTCAGACTTAAACCTTCAGTGTCACATAAAAACAAAGTCAACCTTCAATCACCTGAAGAACATTTCCATTGTTAAAGGACTAATGTCCTTTAACAAGCTCTAGAGGAGGGGTCACCAAACCTTTTTGAGTCTGGGAGCTACTTCATGGGTACAAAGTAACACGAAGGACTACTTGTTTGACATAGATATAAATGTTCTTGGCTCAACCTTTATAACAATAATAATAAGAATACATATGGTCAGAACCGCACACGGTAAAAAGCTCAGCCAGGATCCAAATGACCACTCTTAGAATTACAGGAGGTTCAAACTCCGCTCATTCATTTTTAGCTCACAGAAAAAGTGTAAAGCCACCAAATAAACAAAAGCAAAATTACCAATAAGACTTAGGCTTATTGGTAATTTTGAGCGGTAACAGCCGTATAGCTGCAGGCGCTGCTGCCCTCTGATAACATCCTGCAGGCGTCTGCGCATAATTCTGAACTTTAACCCTAGAAAAGAGTTTTATACATAAAGCAATTTTAAACATCTTTATAATTAACTTTTTTTATTCTAAAAATAAACAAATGTTATTACTTCAAGGTAAAAACATTTAATTAAATATTTTTTTTGGCAGTGTTCCTGAATGACAATGGCTATTTTCAACAATGTTCCCTCAGGCGACTGAGTGCCCACGGGCACTGTGTTAGTGACCCCTGATCTAGAGAAACTCATCCATGCTTTTATTTGATTACGGCAACAGTATCTTTACAGATCTGCCTAAAATAAACCCTCCAGCTGCAGAGAGGTTGTATGCCCCGCACCAAGCAGCTCACCCTGGATCGCTCAGGGCGCCAAGCCAAAACAAAAGTCTCACACTGCAGATCCCATGAGACGACTAACGGGGAGAACCCGTCACCTGGATGAATCAGTGTGGCCGGCTCTGAGCCGAAACCCACCTTCAACGTCAACACCTGCTCCGCCAAAGAAAAATAAACAAGCAGCTGGAACCAAGCAGCTCCATCGACCACGCTCCTAAGGACAAAGGACCAGCCCAACCCTTACAATATAGAGACCAGAAGTTAAATTGTTGCTACTAGTTTCCCTTTACTTGAGGTAAGAGTTAATATTAATGACACTTTAATGACACTTAATGACATTTTCATAACTGGTGCTACTTCTTTCACTGTAGTTGATTTAAGAGATAATATTAATGACACTGTAATAACACTTAATGACATATTCATAACTGGTGCTACTTGTTCCAATTTACTCGATGTAAAATAAATTATTAATAACTGTTATTAAATCATTTGACAGTGTAATAAAGCTTACTGAAATCTTAATTGTTGGTCCTACTTGTTTCACTTTATTTCAGTTAGTGGAAATATTAACTACTGTTTTGATAAAGCTTTTGATAGTGTAATAACAATTAAATCATTATGACTATTATGACATTTACGACATATTATGATTCTTGGTTCATGTCAAGTTGTCATAACAAAGACATTTTGAATAATGTCAACTTTGTATTAACAGTGTCTTGATTTACTGAATGACACTTTATGACAACAATCACAAATATTCATGAAGACTTATGTTCATGACAGGTGTTGTGTCATGTTTATGACAGTGTCATGTCAGTCTTATTCACACCCCATCAAATAAAGTCTTACCCAAATCTCTTTTTATTGTTATCCATTGCTATGGATAACAAGGTCCATATTTAACAAGTCTTACAACATTAAGTTTTAGAGATGAAAAGTAATAACATTATGATCAAACTTCCTTGGCAACTTCAGAATTGACCTGACTCATTAATTACAGAAGCTGATTCAGTTATTCCAGTTGTCACACTCCGGCATTTTTTTCCATCATTTTTTACTGATAAAACCCGAAAGTTCTACTCATGCATCGAATGCTGCTTTTCTTTTTAAAGGCTTTAAAAAGAAAAGCCTTTATTTGGAAGTAGTTCAACACGGGCTATGAGAGAGGGGGAAAAACATGCGGCAAATGTCGCCGGGCGGGAAATCGAACCTGCGACCACCGACATGAGGACTAAGGCCTCAATACATGGGTTGCACTTTTCCCCTGCACATCACAGCACCCCAAATGCTACTTTTGTTTGCCTTCCATCTCCTCAGATCATACCGTATTCACTCAAAACAACTGAAAACAATATATATTTAACAATATATATAGATCTTTTTTCTTGTATTATTTCCCTTTTTCTTTTCATCAACTTACTTTATTACCGTTTTTGTACAGCACTTTGGAGCTGTTTGACATCTGTTTGTAATGTGCTATATAAATACATTTGACATTGACATTGAAAAGTGCCCCAAATTTTAGTTTACTTAAAGCAACATTTACATCAAGAACATAATTACCTGTGGTTGAGGGTGTCCAGTGACAAGGCACTGGAGTTCCAGAGTTTCTCCCTCTCGGATGATGTAAACCCTCTCGCTATGTTGCTCTTCCTCCACATTACAGGCCTGACCTGCATGGATAATTCGCACTGTAGGGGATGCTGTGAACAGCAAAACACATAGAGTAGCAGATTAAACATGAACATGTTATTTTAAAAATTGGTTACATGTTTCATTACTATCTGTATAATTTCAGCATGTGGTTGTTCTGCATCAACAGATTGTTTCAATCTGACTTGTATAGTCATGAGTCTTTGAAGACAATTAATGACAAGTAGGGGTGGAATAGTACATGTATTCATGCCAAAATATTCAATTCTACCTATTGGTTCAATACATACCGAACAAAATTCAGATGGCCTTTTTTATATCTGACCACATGCAGAAGATTTATGTGATTCACTGAGAGCGCAATGTAATGTTTTGTAGGGCATTCAAAAACTTCTCAATATGGGCACAAATTTCTAAATATCAACAATAACTTTTTCTAGCGGTCTATACAGGTATTGGGTATGCCTTCCTACAATCCTTTATTAATTTATAATTTATTAAATTAAATCCGGAATAGGTCTATTGAAGTAAGCAATAACTCAATTATTCTCAATAAAAATTTAAATGAGCTCAAAAATAAAATGAGGTTGATAATAATTGCTTGTTTATTTTGGTGTGTCTCTATCACTTTCTCGTAAAGAGGCTCACTGACAAAAAGATTCACTCCGGTGCATTGAGCGAATGCACCAGAGTGAATTTATTCATTTACTTCACAATCTTGACACAGGGAGCGAACAGTGGTGGAAAAAGTCAATTTTCCGCCACTAGGGGACATACGAGAAGTGATAGTGATGACAATTTTCAAATTTGTTGTTTTGCATCGCTAGTCCGCATTATAATAAAATATTATTTTGATAAAACCCATTTCATAGAAGTTTTGGTAAAGGACAAAAACAACTCCCTGAAACCTTTGTTTTCAGCTTCTGTTCTTTCCAGTAATTCAGCCAAAGTTTCTATGTTGTCATAATAATCACCATGGACACCACCAATCTGCCAGATTGGATATTGAATATTTAATAAATCAGTTTATTCCAAAGAAAAAAAAATAACATACACCTGCCACAGATTGTCACAGTGTTCGTGGCATCTGTCACCAAAGTTGCGGAACTTTAGCGGCAGGTGCCGTGGCGGCTGTATGTGTATAAGTTGTATGCTTGTTTTTTTTTGTTTTTGTTTTTTTCCACAATTTGCTCAGCTGGAGGGCAAGTTACTGTTGCCTCACCATGAAAGCTCCATAGGAAATAAATGAGTGGGAGCAGTGCTATCCCCTGGTGTCATAACGAGTGAACTCTTTGATCAGGCTCATGGAACTCCTTCTAAAGGTGAAGATATCACAGATTTCAAAACAAAATAAAAATGAGAGACCACCGCTCCCACATGCCGAGCCGCATGCCGAGTCACACTCTTAAGCCTCCCTTGTAAGGTCTATTCAGGGGTCCTGGAGAGCAGGGTCCATCGGCTAGTCGAACCTCGGATTCAGGAGGTGTGGTTTTCGTCCTGGTCGTGGAACACTGGACCAGCTCTACACCCTCAGCAGGGTCCTGGAGGGTGCATGGGAGTTCGCCCAACCAGTCTACATGTGTTTTGTGGACTTGGAGAAGGAGTTTGACCGCGTCCCCAGGGGGGCCTTGTGGGGGGTTCTCCGGGAGTATGGGGTACCGGGCCCTTTGATACGGGCTGTATGACCGGTGTCAGAGTCTGGTCCGCATTGCCGGCAGTAAGTCGGGCTCGTTTCCGGTGAGAGTTGGACTCCGCCAAGGCTGCCCTTTGTGACCGATTCTGTTCAGTACTTTCATGGACAGAATCTCTGACCAGCCGAGGCATTGAGGGGATCCGTTTTGGTGGCCTTAGGATCGCATCTCTGCTTTTTCTGGATTGGTGCAGCATCTGCTGTGAAGTGGGCGCTGTACCAGTCCGTTGTGGTGAAGAGAAAGTTGAGTCAAACAGCGAAGCTCTTGATTTATTGGTTGATCTACGTTCCCACCCTCATCTATGGTCATGATCTTTGGGTCATGACCGAAAGAACGAGGTCCCGGATACAAGCGGCCAAAATGGGTTTCCTCCGCAGGGTGGCTGGGCTCTCCCTTAGAGATAGGGTGAGAAGCTCAGTCATCCGGGAGGGACTCAGAGTAGAGCCGCTGCTCCTCCACGTTGAGAGGAGCCAGTTGAGGCTCGCGCATCTGGTCAGGATGCCTCCTGGACGCCTCCCTGGTGAGGTGTTCCAGGCACATCCCACCGGGAGGGACCCGGGACACGCTGGAGGGACTATGTCTCTCGGCTGGC